AACACTGCCATCTGCTTTTCGAACATTCCCTCATCAAAATCATCATCAATAGAGAAAAAGCTACCAAGCTCATATACAGTGTCTTTCCACCATTTAGGATCAGTGAGTAAGGTGAGAAAATGCTTTCTTGTATTTGCAGTAAAAGGTTGACCTATAAGAGCTTCAGGAAGGAAGGACCATCCATAAGGGTACGACCTCCATTTATCAGGGTGTTTAAAGGGAAATGATAACCCATTATCAATAGCTGCAATATGAATATGTGGATATGGGATAAAATATGGTTCCGCACGAACGTTACTCCCTGAATTTTCGGAAACAGATGTTTCTTGAAGAGACTCAGATGTAATATCTTTATAATTCATTTCTCTAAGGGGTTCAGCAGAAGAAGGTAATATAACGTCCTCATGTGGTTGTATTTCTTGGTTATTTGAAGGTGTTTTTGTTGATGAAACATCTGGTGCTTTCATGGTCATTGATTTTGGTGGTGTGCTGGTAAAACAGTCGCGTTCATCTTTATCGCAGTATTTTATCATCCAATTATCAAATCCTCGATCTATATATAAATTAAATGTGTTACCCCAAAATCCTTTGTGTATACTATGTACGTTATATTTAATGCAACAAAACAAATTACCAGTATTTCTCATCAAATAATCCAAAATAACAAGTTTTTCAAACTGTTCTCTAAATTGAAGTTGTAGCTCGGGAGTCCAACAGAATCTTTTCCCTAGCAAGTAAGATTCATTTTGATCATCATCATCAGTTGTCCCGACTCTTCCACACATAAGTGGACTTAAGCGGCTATTCGATCTCTCACTTGTAGCCACATTGTTGTCTGTTACTCTTTCGTTACCGTTACTGTTGTTATGCTCAGGCCATGGATGCTCTCTCAAGAAAACGTTAGCATCCTTGAAGCCTTCCAAATACACTTGAAAACTACCAATCTTTTCGGGTAGAGGCTTCGGATTTTTCTTTGACGTTGCTGCGCGACGGTCCAAGTAATCATAATGAAAAGATGGTGAAGACAACCAGACAACTTCAGTAACTGGAACAATATTCAGGTTTAGCCGACGATCGAGAAGAGATGCAGCCGCTTCGGAAATGTATCCAAGATTTGGAATCAAACTAAGACGAAATGAATAGCAAATATAAGTGTCTCGAGTAAATAAATTCTATATAACACTGAATTTCCTAATTTAAATTTGAATGGCATAAGTATTGTTGTATAGCATGAAGAAGAAATATTCACCAACTCCTTCCAAAGAAACATGGAAATAAATTACGATGAATCCATTTAGTCCATTTTGGGTTAAGGCGTCCGTAAGGCTCCTCATTCTTTGGCTTGAAAACTCCTACCGTCTTTTCCTCTTTATTACGGCAAAAATAAGAACCGGAGGAACCTTGACTGATTCGATTTGGTTGAATACCAGAGGATATGGCACTTTTGACAGAATCCAAGATTGCAAGAAATAATTCTGGTGTTAGAGGCGGTTCGTGATTTGCGGTTAATGGATGAACACTAGGCTAATTATGGGTCGAATTATAGATATATGA